CTCAACAACCATGTTCAGCGCGGCCGTGAACCCCCGCCCGCGGCCAGCCTCCGCCGCCATCCTCCGCCTCAACCAGGCCGTGATGTTCGGCCTCAAATCCCCCTCCGGCGGCGGCGGAGCCAAGTGCATGGCGACGTACAGCGTGAAGCTGATAACCCCGTCGGGGGAGCTGAGATTCGAGTGCGACGACGACGTTTACATAGTGGACAAGGCGGAGGAGGAAGGGCTCGATGTGCCGTTCGCGTGCCGCGCGGGGTCGTGCTCCGCCTGCGCCGGAAAGCTGGTCAGCGGCGGCGTTGACCAGTCCGACGGCAGCTTCCTCGACGACGAACAGATCGACGCCGGCTGGGTGCTGACGTGTATCGCCTACCCCACTTCTGACGTCACCATTGTGACTCACAGGGAGGAGGAGCTCACTGGTTGATTCATCATATATAAATCATTTTTCTTTTTATTATTATTATTATATTATTATTTGTTAAATTTTTTTTTGAGAAACTATTATTATTATTATTAAATAATAATATGGTCCAATTAGTCACACATCAATAAACAAGAATTCAATTTTCTCATCAAATAGTTCTTCAACTTGGGTAAAATTGTTATAAAAAAAAAAAAAAAACAAATCCTTGTTTAATTCTATTGCAAAATAACAATTAGAAAAATGGTAAATTCCACTTAAGACTTCCATGGTTTCACTATTTTGCAAATAACTCCCTTCTACTTTCAATGGAAGCACATGCCCCCTTTTCTACTATTGATATAAGCACATAATCCCCTTGTGGTATTTTTCTCGGCAAACAATCATGCTCGTTAGGAAAAGGAAAATTTTGAGAGTACAAAGGGGTCATGTGCTTTATTTGAAACTACAAGGGGGTTATGTGCAAAATTGTCAGACCACACGGGGCTTAAGTGCTATTTACCCTTAAAAACAATAATCAAGTTTCTATTGCAAATCTCATAATTGCATCTTAATTCTATTGTATGACTATCTTTAGATTTTGTGATCAACATTGTTACCTTTCGATCATGTCTTTCGAAACAAATCCAGAAGAGTCTCGATCTTGCCCTCCTCCACGTCATCATCCACATCATCGTCTTCATCAACAACAACAATATCATCGGACTGAAGATGCTGTTGTTGTTGTTGCATGTGTCTGAACGAGAACTCGTTCAGATTATTACTAGGGCAGCTCTCGAGGTCATCGCATTCTCCGTTTATTGTTGCATCATCCATCGTATGTCTGAAGGACCCCGTTGAGGAGCAACGGGATAATGTGCCTGATCCAACGGTTATTATCTCGTCTCTCTCGTCGTCGATTATTGACTCGAGCGAACACGTTGACCTTGTGGCGATCGAGTTCGTCGCCTTTGACCTTTCCTTCACTCTCTTGCACCAGCTGTGTAATGATTCTCTCACGCTTTCGGCTAGCAGGGCTTTCTTACAACGTGTTCCCATCTTAAAAAAAAAAATCGAGTCTTTTAATGAGTTGTTCTACAATCTACAGAAAAATAAGTTTAGATTCTTCACTGATGCTGATTCTTTTACGAAGAAATCGGAGAAAAAAAAAATTGCATCGAAATTAATATAATGATTGGTGCGACAATAGTTAGTTACCGTTGTGACGAGTACGTTCAAAGGAACAGTGTTGTAGCTACACCAGAACTGAACAAGGACCCTGCGTAATTGTTTATACGAAACATTGTATTAATTCAATTAATCCATATATATATATACATGTTGTCTCTAACATAATACGTATATAGTTTTATTAAAGTTTGAGAAAATGTACCCGGAGATCAGTCGAATGATGATCATTGCGTGATTTTTCATGAAACACGAACGTTGAGGAAATCCCCACTAGAAAAACATGCCAAAATATATCATGTAAGATGAAGCTCACAGAAAGAACTTTTCTTGATTCTTTTAAATAAAAATAAAACAAAAAAATAAAAAGAGATCATTAATTAATAATCGGCTAATATATCGACAAGGAAAGATGGATTTTTTCTTACCAAGGACCAGACAAAGGTTGCCATTTCAAAAGCATTCTGCATTAACAAGTAGTTTAGGAGTTAGTATCAACAAAATATCAAGAAAAGGCAGAAAATCGTTGAAATCGTCGGTAATATTAGAAAAATAAATCTCTATATAAAATACTATATTGCAAAAAAACAAGACACCATTTGTACTTTTACATGTAAAAAATAACGGTCGATAATGTTTTTTTTTTTTTGTTTTTTTGGGGGATAAAATTGTCAAATATTGTAGTGTTTAAAACTAGTAAAGAATTCATTTTTTTTTCTTCTTCTGTTCATGTATACATTAATTACCTGAAAAGATATAAACTGAATCAAGCGTAACAAAATAACGGGTTTTCCGAACCAAAAAAGATCGTCTCGTGGCTTCACTTGAGTCCCGATGGCGGGTCCGACCCGTGGCTCTGCGATTTCGAGTGCTAATAGGGAGACAACATGTTGGAGTTTTGTCCCTACCAACATCACAAGCTTGAACATTTTTTTTGGTGTTAATTTTTTTTATGTTAGTAATTAAAAACATTTAAAAATAATAAAATAAATAATAAAATAAGGCCACATTTATCCATTACAAGAAGCTAATAGATCACTTACAATGGCAGGTATGAAGGAAAGCCAGAAGTAAATGTTAAGACCTGCATAGTGATTTAAAATTCAGACATGTAAAATACGAGCGGAAAAAAAAGAAAGAAAAAATCGACCATAGATTTGCGTTTTTTTATACCGTCCGGTCGAATTCGTTACCGTGTATGTTTATGAAGATGCAGAGTATAGCATAACCCCAAAGTGGCCAGCTGCAAAATCCCAAATACAGTAGAACCTCGATTAAATAATAGTTTCTCTTGGTCCCGACTCGGTGAAAACGTGTTAAATTATTAACTCGATAATTTAATAATTTGTGCTATTAAATTATTAAAGAAGAAAAAAAAAATACCTGATACCGACAATGCAATAGAATTCGTCTTCCATGCTTCTCACCATGTATTTGTGAAAATTGTATGACAATGGAAGCTTATGATTCTGCGGGTTATTTTTCAGATAATCGAATTAGGTTGGCGTAACAGGATTAATCAAGATAACATATATAGTTGATGAAAGAAAAAAAATTAGAGAAAAACGTAAAATTTCGGTTCTTCTCAAACACCAAGGTTATATTATTTAGTTATTCATGGCGTACCTTCCCAATCAAACGAGACATTAATTTTGTTTTGCATTTGAACTATGTTATAGACAAAAAAGAAGGTTCTTTTGAATTATATGTATATACATATATATATATATATATATATATATATATATATATATATATATATATATATATAGATATATATATATATGTATGTATGTATGTATGTATGTATGTATGTATGTATGTATGTATGTATATATTACCATCCAAATGAGAACTCGACTCCTATTCCACGGATGAGAAGCGTGATGCAGAGCGAATGTGGATTGTCGTCTCATCACCTTGTTCTTTGCTGCCACCCAAAGCCAACTAATAGTCAGCATTTTTACAATAAATATATAGTGAGATAGAGCGAAAATTCGATAAATTGCAAACGAAATATAAAAAAGTTGCAATCTTTTTTCTTTCTTTCTCTCTGATGTCTGAGATAAACTGGTAATTTTCACAAAAGTTAATACTTGCATATATGCAGAAGCATCGAGATTCTTTAATAGGGTAGGCTAAGGCCTCGTTTGGTTGGTAAGAAAAAACGACGACTAATAAAATATTTAGGTATTCTTTGATGTTTGCTTAGTGCAAATCTATGGAAAAAATGAGCTCTTATCTTCACACTGTCCAATTATACAATTGGGTTCTCGTAAGATTGCATAATCTTTATCTCGATAAACCAAACGAGGCCTAAGAGTTTCTGCGTACATATTTGAAAATAAATACCTTGTGCATTAGCCTCAGCCAAGATGCTTGCCTGAATTTCCCATTTCCTCCAGCTGTATATCTGCAAACCATAAACACCTCTATAAACTCGAAGCTAACCATGGTTGGGTTAACTTAACCACGCCCCGTTGACCATGGTTCGGTTCAGAAATGTACCTTGCTCATAGATAAGCCAACAGCTATACAGCTGTACAGAACATGAGTCATACCAAGAACAAACAAGAAACGGTGGAGTTGTTCGAGTCCTTCAGCCGAAACAAACGGCTCTCGCCCCTGAATAAAGGAAAAATTACGGTTTAAATTTTGGACTAAATTAACATAATTAAATTGTTTTTGAATAGATCTTCGATATATATATTTGTTTATACCTCGCCGCAGACGTGAAATGCAACGTGACTAAGTCCTTTCGGAGGGTTAGCATCGGTTCCATTCGAAGAGAGAGAGCGGTAATTCACGAGCAAAACTCTCTCGTTATGATGTCCGTAGTCTTCCTCCGAACAACTATAGAATTTACTACTGAAGAGAGACGAGTTTACGCAAATCTGAGATATCCATCTCGCCCATTGCCCCAATAACAAAGAGATTAGCCCAAGCAGCATTAGCTCTGTTTTTTACAAATTATCGGAATTACAAAAAAAAAATTAAATAAAAATAAAATAAATCACTGCAAGAAATCAATATCAAAAGGTTATTACCTTCTTTAATTTTCTCTAGGGAAGCAAAAAGGGCTTTCCTCTTAGTCATCTCCAGCCACTTCAAATCAACCAACACAAGTTAAAAAAAAAGTCAGACACGAAAAAACAGAAATTCAAACTGATTTTCTTGACCCGATATTCCGACCCACCTTCCCGAATCTGTAAATGGATCTTTCGACGAATAAGCAGACGAAAACCATGACCGTGGTGACTGTAGCTACAGACCATGTTGGAGTTTCCTCCAAAGATCTCCCTTCTCTTATCATAACATCCACCATCTTTTTTCAAGAAATTATTAGTAATCTTTTCTTGGAACTATACAATATATATATATATATATATATGTATATATATGTGTGTGTGTGTGTGTGTGTGTGTGTGTGTGTGTGTGTGTACACCAGTGAATGAGACAGTAAGAAGATCCAGGTAATAGGGAACTTCGGTGGGGGTGCAAGAAAAATATGCATTTACATTATAATATTTCAGTCAGGCATTTATACAAACACATAGATGTATATTACAATTTACACACAAGCAGTGCTCAACATGGAATCTTCTCATGAACTATTGATTCTTCTTTCTTTTTTCTTTTCCCCATTTACACACACATAAACACACACACACAAATATATATATATATATATATATACACACACACATGGTTGGGTTTGTGTGTGATTAATGCGATGGTTATTAAAATATAAGGAAAGAAGCAGGGGGTTGGCTGTATTTGCATGTGCAATTTGGTGTATGGAAGATCTCAATTTCTTTTGCCACCTTTTTGTCCGACCTGTCACGTGCTTAACACCAACCATAGTTAGACCAAAATCAGTTTTTTGGGGATGAATAATATATTTACTCTCTCTTTTAATATTTTTTATGATTTTTGTATCTTCACACCATGCATGCAGCAAACCTAGTATTTAAAAAAAATATATATATATATATATATTGATATGCCTAATTGGCCAACGCAATGGACTTACAATTTATTTACTTACGGGGCCACGAGCCCAATATTGAAGACCACTATTAACAAGGCCCAATCACCTTCAAATAAGGTTTGGGCCCAACAATCTCATCTAAGCTATAAATAAATGTTCGAACTCATTCCTTAAGGTACGTTCTATTATTGACAAGCAAGCTAGAGTTTTATTGAGCATCGGAGTGGTTTCCGCCGGGTCAACCCCCGGCTTAGTTCACGTGTGTCTATTTTGCAGGGACCTCAGGATCATCAAGTTGTCAAGCTACTGATCCGCTTTGCTCTCCCAACTCGTTTTCTACACTACCCCAGGTGATCTAAGTAATTAGCATCATCATTTTGGCGCCGTCTGTGGGAACGATGCAAACCATATCACGTAGCCAACAAGATCCTCCTGAGGCATCCGCTCGGAGAGAGAACGACACAGCTAACAACCTCCCAATCCGCGGAGGCTCTGGCTTGCCACCTCCTCCACGTGCTTCGGATCCGCCTCGCGAGGTTCAGGTGATCCCCCTCTCGGGACCCACCACTCGCCGATCCACCACTCCCTGCTCCCCCAACGGTTCAAATAACCGAGGATGCGCTCCAGCGCATGATAGCAGAAGCCTCAACTCGCGCCGCCACAGAGGCCGTGACCCAATACATCGCCACGATGGGAGCAAATGCTCCCAACGCGATACCAGCACCGGCTCCCCCTGTGGAGCCACCTATGGCACCACCGCCAGTCCAGAACCAAATAAGTGTCTCCTCCTCTACCTCGGACCCACGGTCCCGAATGCACCAATCTACTCATCGTCAAGATGCACGAACTGGGCGACGAGACCCACGTTCACCTTCAAGAGGCAACACCTCTCACCAACGAGCTCCTCCACACAATGGTGGAGAGGATGAAATTAGCAGTCAGGTATCTCGCTCAAATCACCTTCCCCACATAGGTAATCCCGTTGGTGGAAAGGCAATACCTCCAATAAGGAGCAATCCCTTCACTGTCGCAATAATCAATGAGATACTACTCCAACGGGTAAAGGTCTGGAGTCTACCGCAGTTCGATGGAACTAGTGACCCACATGAGCACCTTGAAAAGTTCTACGTCATGGCAGATCTATATGGCCCAACTGATGCGGCAATGTGCAAGATGTTTCGCACAACGCTCTCCGAACGAGCATTGAGCTGGTTCAATACCTTGCCCACTGGGTCAATTGAAGCTCTCTCCCAACTAACAGATCGCTTCACCCACTATTTTGCTATCAACAAAGAGTACACAAAGACTCCCGCGTACCTCTTCACTATCACCCAGAGAGAGGGCGAGACCCTCCGCAACTACATTCAACGATTTGTAGAGACATCTCACAAAGTTCCTAACGTGGGAGGAAGCATGCTCGTTGGAATCATTCAACAAAACTTGAAGGAAGGTATATTCAATGAATTTATTGCAGGAAGACCTCCAACCACTCTGGAAGAGTTACTAAGTCGCGCTGAGAAACACGTGCGCATCGAAGAGGCTTCGGCCCTCCCTTTTCCCAAGAGGAAAAGAGATGAAAATTACTTCAACACCAGGCGACGAGATGGCCGACGACAATCGTCAAAATCTCATTGATAATCTCCTTCTACGTCCTTGTACTTCCAATGATGTCAATGAAACTTGGAGTCTATCGAGCCCATAACATTGTTCGTGATCACATCATCCTAAATTGGGGGGCTATCATACCTTAAAGATGATACATCCCCTCACCTCTCGACATCAATTGAACGAAACACATACATCAACTACTTAGTACAAGTTTATTTATTTCGAGCGATTCGCTCCCTACTTGTTTATTTACCTTCGCCTCAAGTAGGCTCGTAAGCTTCACCTTTTCGATCAATGAATAAAGCTAGTTATTTCCTGTACTCTCGGTGTTATTGCTCTTTCACCATATAATTATTAGCTCAAGTCAACATAAAATCTGGGGGTTTATAGTGCCCCCAAAATATTTCGTTCGCCAAGGGTTATCGACTCCCTGGGGGTTTATAGTACCCCCAAAATATTTCGTTCGCCAAGGGTTGTCGACTCCCTAGGGGCCTACCTCCGGCCCCCCCTCGAACGGTTCAGATAACCGAAGAGGACCTTCAGCGTATGATCGCCGAAACTTCAACAAGATCAACTTCTACTTGCTCCTCTAACGGTTCAGCTAACCGATGAGGACCTCCAGCGTACGACCGCGAAAGCTTCAACTCGTGCTGTCACTGAAGCAATGGCACAACCGTGCGCATCCACCTCATACCATAGGTCTCGAATGCTTCATCCTAAAGTGGGGGGCTATCATATCCCAAGGTTGGGCATCACCCTTACCTTTCAACCCCAAGTGGGTTCACATCACATCTCAAGAGACGAGTGTAATCTCCCTACTCAAAAAATAGAACATCCCAAAGGGGTGAACATCAACCACAAAAAAAAAAGGGGTCAAATCGCGCGCGCGAGACCCAAGATCAAGAAGAAGAAAAAAGAAGAGAAAAGAAAGTGTGGCGCACAATCCAAAAAAAAAATAATAAAAAAAATAAAAAATAAATAAAAAAATAATATAGAGAAGCGCGTGCTCACACGCACCTGGGGGAGCACCTGCGCGCGCGCCTTCCCAAGGCCACCTTGGAGCGCGCGCTCCCATTAGATCGCGCACAACTTTTACTACTCTCCACCAAATTGCGCGTAGATTTTGACGCGCTTCACCAAATCGCACGAGAATTTCAACGCGCTCCACCAAATTGCGCGAGCTCTCCAGCGCGCCTCACCAAATCGCGCACGCTCTCAAACGGATAAATAAAAATTATTATTTATCCACACCACCCCAACAATTAACGGTACATCACCACACCGATCTACTCTCGACACGATCCTGTATCATTTTCGACTTGACTCCCACATCGACTCGAGAGTGGGGGGCTTGCGAGACAACTCCCATGAGGAGCCAACTCCATCGGTATTACGAACCCGCAGCGAGACAACTCCCACGAGGAGCCAACTCGCTCGGAACTACAACCCATAGCGAGACAACTCCCACGAGGAGATATCTCACTCGGTCATATAATCCGTTGCGAGGCAACTCCCACGAGGAGCCAACTCCCTCGGGTGTACGAAACCACAGCGAGATAACTCCCACAACGAGACCACTCGCTCCGCATTGCGAGACAATTCCCACGAGGAGCAAACTCGCTCGGTCCTACATGGCCGTTGCGAGGCAACTCCCACGAGGAGACAACTCGCTCGCAATTCGCTACACAATCGCAAGCTCAAGTTAGCACGATTACAACCTTAAAAACACTTAGAGATATTATGATAATCTATATAGCCTGGCCAGCTTGATTAATCAAATTTCTCTACTTGTTTTCGACGGGTCCTTCATTAAAACGTGGCCACGGTCCAAACACACTTACGACCCACGAGGTCTAACAAGGGGCACGATCCCCATAAAAAATCTTGAGAGCCCGATCCCCTCCTCAAGTACATCACGCACAAGGCTATATGTAAACACATACAAGCAACGCGTCAAAACATTGAGAATGTCGATAAATAACAACTCCCACGAGGAGAATACTCGCACCGTGCTACTACATTATCGCGAGACAACTCCCACGAGGAGATAACTAGATCAACTCGATTACCCCGCGACGAGACAACTCCCACGAGGAGATAACTTGATCCGAGCTACTACATCGTCGCGGGACAACACCGACGACTCAAGTAACTTACATCGCGACAACTTGGTCGCGCTACGCGCCAACGCGCCTTCACGCCTCTCCGACACACGCTCCAACGCGTTTTCGCACACCATCAGGCCATACACCAACAAGCGACTGCTACAATTTTTACTCTCGACACGATCTGTCGTCCATTTCAACATGGCCCCCACGTCGACTTGAGAGTGGGGGGCTTAATGATATGCCTAATTGGGCCAACCCAATGGGCTTACAATTTATTTACCTACGGGGCCACGAGCCCAATATTGAAGACCACTAGGGCTGGGCATTTGGGATCGGGATTCGGGATCCCGTCCCGTCCCGATCGGAATTTTACTATTTGGGACTAAAACTTCGGGAATTCGGGATTACGGGATTCGGGATTCGGATTAGGAACAAATACGGGATCGGTATTAGGGAATTGGTTCAATCCCGATCGGGATATTTTAATCCCGAATTAGGAAAAAAAGAAAAAAAAAACTAATAAAAAAATACACACACGCACACACACACACACACACACACACACACACACACACACACACACACACACACACACATATATATATATATATATATATATATATATATATATATATATATATATATATATATATATATATATATATATATAGAGATAGAGATATATAGATATATATATATAAATATGTGTGTACACATATACATATATATATAAATATATATGTGTCCCTGTGTGTGTGGGAAAAATAGTGAGTGTGAGAGCAAGTGTGTGTGTGTGATGA